GTCAAGTTACTTCAGGGGTTATAGTCAATTTGATTGTTATTATAAATAATAGATGATCAATCTTAGCTTTGCTCATTCAAGTTAAGTTAATTCGAATAGATAAAATATTGATAAGAGTCGAATTTGAGTCATCCAATTTAAGGTACAATTGGGTTAGTTTTGATTGTTTTGAGAAATTGTAGCTTAGGATAAGTGTAACTAGTTCATTCATTTCCTAATTAAATAAACTTAATACCCCAAGGCCTTTGACACATTTTGGTCATCATAAAAAGCCCTTTAATTTTATGATAAACGAACTAAGAGTTGTGAGTAAGTTTAATAGCTAGTTATAAAATTGAAACTGGTATTGTAGATTAGTGTAGTATTTGCCTACATTCAACCCAATTTTTTGTACTAATTACTGACATATGTTCTTTATTTCCCCTTCTTTTGAGCAGTTGGGAATGGCAAGTGCATTAGAAACTGTATGTGGTCAGTCATACGGTGCGAAACAATACAAAATGGTTGGCGTACACACACAAAGAGCCATGTTGGTGCTTTGTTTAGTAAGTGTCCCAATCTCCATAACATGGTACAACACCAAATATATTCTAATTGTTGTTGGACAAGACCACATGATAGCATCAGAAGCTGCATCCTACGTTAAGTCCATGATACCAGGCCTAATCCCCTACGGTTTAATTCAGTGTCTTTTTCGATATTTTCAAACTCAAAATATGGTCTTTCCAATGATACTTAGCAGTGGAATTACTACTTTATTGCACATAATAATATGTTGGTCATTGGTATTTACATTTAGCCTTGGAAGCAGAGGAGCTGCCATTGCTAATGTTGTATCATACTGGATCAATTTGATGATATTAGCTCTATATGTTCAATATTCTTTGTCGTGTTCCAAGACTTGGAATGGCTTCTCAATTGCATCCTTACAAGGTATACCGACCTTTTTGAGACTTTCCATACCTTCAACCGCTATGCTATGGTAAACTTCGTTTACATTGCTTGGATCCTTTTTTTCTTCCTACATATATATATATATATATATATATATATATATATATATATATATATATATATATATATATATATATATATATATATATATATATATATATATATATATATATATATATAAATAAAAATCGAATCCAACAAGTGTATGTGTCATTAAATACGAGATTACCAGCAAGTTAAGACTTTTCTCATTATTTAATAAGACAATTTGGTAAGGTTTTTACCTTAGATTTAAAATGAGTAATTTTTTCAAATCATACCGATTAAGGTTGTTTGGAGCCTCAAAGGGGAGGAACCCCTAAATCTTCCCACCTATTTCCGATTATATATATGGCCTATTTTTCTCTTACGTAAATTCTAAAGTATTATGAGTTTTCTATGTATTATAATTTTCAACAGCTTGGAATTTTGGTCATTCGAGATGGTCATCCTCTTATCAGGCTATCTGTCGAATCCAGTGTTAGAAACTTCAGCACTCTCTATATGGCTAGTACTAAAAAACATGTACACCATATAGTGGGTATTTGATTTGTTTTCTTGTGAGAGAAAAAATGTGCAAGATATATATGTATTAATGGTTATATGTTATGCTATGAATTTTGCAGCCTCAATCTCATCACACTTGTTTGGGTTATTCACGAAGGCTTGAGCGGTGGAGTGAGGTAAGTATTTTAATATCAAAATCTTTTGTATGCGCCAATGCCTCCAAGTTAAGTTAGTGCAAGTTTTTTAAACACCTACCCTACTCTGACTTAACTTTAATTCTAACATATTTTAATAATCAACTTTAAATTAAACTTGATATGATTTTCCCAAATCAAGTCATTATCAATATAATCATACTAACAAGTACGGAGTACTATCCATTCATAATGACTTATAAACCATATGTAACCTAAAGTAAGCTCACGGAAACAGTATTTTCTCTTAGGTATTGGTTTTTGAAGATATTTTCAGTTCAGTTTAATTTGGTTTGGTTTAGTTTGGTTCAATTCAGTTTAATTAGCTTAGTTCAGTTCAATTAGCTTAGTTCAGTTCAATTTAGTTTATCTTAACTTAACTTAATTAGCTCAAATCAGTTCAACTATTAGTTTAGCTCAAAAGAATAGAGCTATAGTATATAAATGTTGTAATAAGAAGATTTTATTAATTATCCTTTTAATTTTTTAAATTGTGCTTAATTTCTCCAGCACTCGAGTCTCCAACGAATTAGGAGCTAGTAATCCACAATGTGCAAGATTAGCAGTTCATGTGGCTTTAAGTATGACGATTTGCGAGTGCATTTTAGTGGGATTACTTCTCATGATGTTACGAGATGTTTGGGGTTATGCATACACTCAAGATTTGGAAGTTGTCAAATACTTGGCTACTATGATGCCCTTAATAGTAATAGCCAATTTTTTAACCGGAGTAACATGTATTCTTTATGGTAATACTGGTCTTTTCTTTACTCAATATTCGTTCAAATATTTTCATTCACTTGCGTTTCTCTTAGATTTTTATATATCATCGTTTCGACATTTTAATTGTTGCTTATACTCGTAACTTGTTTATGGTTGTGAACATGTAGGTATTGCTAGAGGATGTGGTTGGCAAAAGATTGGTGCATATATCAATCTAACTTCCTTCTATCTCATAGGCCTTCCGATTTCTATTCTATTAGCATTCCTTATGCACATTGGAGGGAAAGTAAATACATATTATTTTTCCTTTCACTTTATTATTTGACTTCGAACATATATTAAACATATATTGAGTATATATTGTCATTTGATGCTTATTTGTTGATCTGATCATGTTACTTGTCCTTAAAACTCCCTATCCTTTTTGTTGTAGGGTCTCTGGTTAGGATTTATTAGTGCGTTCCTCATTCAAGTCTTATCTCTGTCAGCTATTACAATTAATACAAATTGGGAGAAAGAAGTAAATCGTTCTAACTACTCTAATTTCTCATTATTTTATTCAAAATCTTGACTTGATACTCAATAAGCATCGTTTGCATCACTTGTGTTTTAATACTAAATTAAAGTTTATATTTAATTTTAAGCTCCACTTTACATATGATCGCTCCACTATATGAAAGTGTAACTCGAAATATTATTTAAAAAATGGTCGCTTTAATGATGAAAATATACTTGTAAAAAAGATCAATTTTAACTTATTGTATATATTATTATATTGTTGTTCGTGGATTAGTGATTACCTTGTCTCTAATCTTGTTCTAACACAACCATTTTTTTTCCAGGCCAAGAAAGCCACGATTAGAGTTTTTGGATCCAATATTCCTGAAGATGAATCACAAGCTCTATATATCATGGAAGATGGAAGACCCCTATGCCATGATAGAGATAAAGGAAGCAAAGTGGATCAATGGAAACACACATGCAACACATAACTAATGCATATGGCTGGATTAGGAAGTTCATGCAATAATTACTCTAGTCATAAATGACAATGACAGTGACAGTTGTCCATTGATATTTTTACATCTCATGTGGTATAATATTATACTACTATAAGATCTTAAAGTACCAATAAGCTTGTTAATATTTTTAAACTTTATGTTGGTACAATTATTATACTAATGTAAGGTTTACAAAAACCAACACACTTGTATTGTCATTCCTAGGATTCACTCATGCATGACTAGAGTAATTTTAGGTTCAGACAACCTTGCAGATTGATAATGTTTTGGGCCCAATAAAGGCTACTAACATTGTAAAATTAGTCATACTAGCTCTTAAAGAGACGATGTTGAGTGATAACTTCAACTCCACATATACCCTACCCTTTTTAATTGTAGAATCAATTCACTAATAGTTATAGAACATTTATAAAAGATATATGAATTGAAATACATAACAATTCAAATCGATTAATGACTTTTCATCAAAACTAATATCGTTGAATAGATATTTCATCATTATTGTACATTTCTCGCACATATCTTTGAAATATACAACTTTTTCGCGGAGAAGATATAATAATTTGTTTGTAAGCAATAAGATAATTTTTATCTGATTCATCAATTTATATTCGAAAAACTTAAAACTTTTGCGATATCGTATGATTCTTTATCAAGGAATCAAATTAGCGATACTTCACTATTACTAAACTAAACTCGTACATACTAATACTTAACAAATCCTACCATAATGGAAAATTTTGACTTTTAATATCTTTAAAAACACTAATTTGATTTTTATTACCTTTATAAAATTTAATTTTATTTTATTACCATAAAAAAAAAAAAGCTCCCACTAATAGTTTTTGTCAAAGAAATTGTACATAAATCGTTAGTGGAGGCCATTCTCCAACGTTAAATTATTTTTTCAATTTGTGTGTCGAAAAATATTATGTTAAGTTTTTGAGGGTCATTTCAGCCCTTACCAAATTGAGCTTGGAATTATCAAAAGATAGCACAAATTACTCGAGTAATTAAGGTTATGAGGCTATTTTAGCCCTTAAATTACAAAAACTAGATTGTATTCGTGCTAACGCACGGTATATAAGATGTGGAAGTTATTAGGAAACAGAAATGAAGAAGTGAAAGTTATTTAATTGGAGGTTATAGAAAAAAAAAAACCCTCAAATGCATGAGATTTGTGAATTGGCGTTTTGAAAGATTGTGGTTAAATCTCTTTGCAATTATATTAAAATATAGGCACACACCAATCAAAACTTTTGTATACATCCGATATACAGTAATATTACTATAAATCGAGCTTTGTAAATTAGCACCAAAAAAGGGACCTGTTTTGAAATTACCACCCGTTAAAAATTTTATTTTAAATTACCACCCCTTAAATTAAAAAATATTCAGATAACCACCTTTTTAGAAAATTCTGTGGAAAATCCGGTCTCCTTTTTGGGTGGTAATTTACAAATTTTCCTAATTTTATTCAATTTAGCATAACTTTTAGACTTATTTGGGTAACTTTTATTAATAAAACATAAATATCTTTTATTTATAAAGTAACTTATATATATCGGAAACTTTCATTAAATTTAGGTAATTGATACACAACAAGACCACAAGTCCACAACCAATCAAATATTTTAAAAAAAGTTGGGACTTCTCAAAAAAGAGTTTGAAAAGGAGGGAAAAACCTCCCCCACTTTGCACACAAACCCCATTCCTCATTTCCATAAACCCTAAAAAAAACCAGTGACAATTAACACACTCTCTCCCTGTTCTTCCCTCTTTCTTTCCTTCAAATTCTTTAATTACTCCCAGAAAATGCTCTGACATTTTTAAATTTTTCTTCAATTTCTCTCTCCAATTTTTGAACCCTTTTCCCAAATTTCTCAAAGGGTTCAACCTCTCAAGCTCAAGCTATATCCCATGGCGAGGCTTCTTCGCCACGCTTCTTCTTTGCGACGCTCTCTGTTTCCTCCAGAGGTCTGTTTTTAGCACACCCTTTTTTTAATTTTATTTATTTTTTTTTTTGTAATTTTTAGTTGTTGATTATTTATGTTTATTGTGGAAGAATAGTTTTTGTATTTTGTTATGTGATTTTGGGATTTATTTAATTTTTTGTATGATTTTATATATTTTTTACTTACTGCTTTCAGTGTTTTGGACTAGTATAAAATGTTGCAGAATATATTGCATGTTTATAGGATTTTTTAGATTCGTCCCAGGTTCTGACAAATATTTAAATGTTGAAGAAAGAAGGAAAATGTTAAGTATATTTTCCCTCTTTTGGGGAATTAATTGTCGCGTAGATAATGTAATTTAAACTAGTAATGCGACAACAGAATCCGAGTGGAGGGATAGTACTTAAATTTTTAGTTCATTTTGTGGAAGGAAGAAATGTGCTTGCTATAGTTATTGTTTTTCTGCAATTTGTTGAGTGGGTGCCATTGTTACAAGTTTACATGTAATTATGAGAAAGGCTTTTTTTTTTTTTAATGGAATGTTTTGCTGCTTGCAGAGCTTCAGGAGAGAGGTGTTGGGAATGTCGTCTTTTCAATGCAAAGAGTTTTCTTCAAAAGGTGCTAATACTTTACAAGCTTTTGTCTATTGAAGTATGCCGAATGACGGGATTGTGACGAAGTTGTTATAGACTTTATTTGCTTTATTATTGTTGTTTTGATAGTTGTGGTTGAATGGTGTTTTTGTTTATATGCTGTATTGATATTATTTAGAGTGGATTCCATTTAGAGCATTGTGTTAAATTTCTTTATCTTGTTCAAAGAGAAGCAGTTTTGTTATTGCAAAAACATTTTGGTTGTCATGATGCATTTGTTTTCTTTGCACGGAATAATCAAATTTGGTTCATATAGCCAACCCCACTTATGGGATTAAGGCTTTGATTGATTGATGCATTTATTTTCTCATTCATCTGCTAAGTTTAACTTTTATGGGTTTATTGGTGAAGGTCGAAAGAAAAAATCAGATGGAAGTGACTCTAATGATGAAGGCCTGTCAAAGAAAGAATTAGCTCTTAAACAAGCGTTAGACCAAATCACGACTTCATTTGGAAAGGGATCTATTATGTGGCTTGGTCGGTCTGTAACTCCTAGAAATGTCCCAGTGGTGTCTACTGGGTCATTTGCTCTAGACATAGCATTAGGCATTGGAGGACTCCCTAAGGTACTTTCTATTGTGGTACTTGTTCGCTTTAGATATTCCATGCATAAGTAGATATCTATTTTGGAAGGGGAAAAGTAAATATGGTATGATAATGTTAAGATAGCATAGACATGCTTATGATATTCATTTAGTTTAGTAGGTGTTTGGATTATTTGTATTTTGTCTTCTTCACATGCATGTCTTTTGATTAAAATTTGATAGTTTACCTTTAGTATGTAACATAATTGTGCATTAAGCTTTAGGCTATTTATGCTTTATGACACGTGTTTCGGATTTTCCAGGGGCGTGTGGCTGAGGTTTTTGGACCAGAGGCATCTGGGAAGACTACTTTAGCCCTTCATGTAATTGCTGAAGCTCAGAAGCAAGGAGGTAGTGTTACTGAACAGCATTTTAATTACCTGCTTGCAATTTTCTATGGAAACAATGATAATGAACATTATCTGTTTTCTGTCATAGTCTGATACTCCCTGCGTCCCTATTTTTTTGCCCCATGTCCATATTCTACTTTATTAAATTTTGGCTGAGTGAATTGATGAGAGAGAAAGGTCATTGTCTATATAGACAATTAAGGTATGTTGTAATATTTAAGGGGCATCCTTCTATGGAAACTGGAGCGAACAAATAGGGACAGAAGGAGTATATATTTGGTGAACTGGTCAAACATGTGTTTGTTTGCTGATAGTAGTCCTTCCTTTCAACCCTCCCCATACACCTCTTATTTGTGTGGAACACTTTTTTTTTAATTATATTTTCAATTATTGGACAGGATTTATAAATGTATGTGTTCTTTGATGACATGCCTGCATAAATTTTTTCACCCTTAGCTTTCTTTTTGCTGTTAGAACTAAGTCTATGCGGTGATAGTTTGGAGTTGGAGTTGTTGGATACTAGGCTCTAGTTTGAAAGCTTATAGTTGTTCAGTATCAAGGCTACTGCCCATAATTGATCCCTTTCTGGCTAACATGTATGTTGAACATTTTAATTCTTGACCTATGCTGATCATTTCATTCCTCGTACTTGTTACTGCTCCACCATTTTTAACTTGAGAGGATAGGACAAAGAACAACTTCTCTACAGTGACCATTTCTTCATGAACTATTGTCTGCATTGATCTTTTTACTAGTCAATTTATTGTCTAGTTTTTTTTCCTCATGGCTGTATCCGTGCTGGTGATTACATGACTCATGTATCATCTTTTATCCATGTAGGGTACTGTGCCTTTGTTGATGCTGAACACGCTCTTGATCCAGCTCTAGCAGAAGCTATTGGTGTAAATACACAAAATCTGCTTTTATCACAGCCAGATTGTGGTGAACAAGCTCTTAGCCTTGTGGATACTCTCATTCGAAGTGGTTCACTTGATGTTGTGGTAGTTGATAGTGTAAGCAAGGATCCATTTTCACTTGCATTTCTCATGTGTCTACAGTTACCTTTGTTTTGGGCGAGGAAGTTTAAATGCACTTATATTATCTATTATTGATGTTCATTGCCCAGGTAGCTTGGAGATCATTGTATTCATTTCAATGTACTATGCTACTGTTGCCTGCTTGTTGAATTGTAATCTGTGTGGTTACTATGCTCAAACATATTGACTGTCTTTATCATTAGTTGTAAGATCTCTCATATATAGTAAAATATTTATTCCTGAATGCAGGTTGCTGCCCTTGTGCCAAAAGGAGAACTTGATGGTGAAATGGGTGATGCACATATGGCAATGCAAGCAAGATTAATGAGCCAAGCACTTCGAAAATTAAGCCATTCATTGTCTCAGTCACAGTGTATATTACTATTTTTGAATCAGGTAGAGATTAAGTAATTTTAAATTGTAATCCTCTGTCCTCTCCTGTTAATGGTGTTAAGAGAGATACATCTGATATAAACTACTGAAACTTAGAATGCCAAATTTTGTTATGAATTGGATATGTTTTCTTGAGAGTTGAGGAAGGTTTATGAACGGCTTGTGTGTAGTCTGTTAAATTATCAATATTATTTCCAATAATTTTTGGAAGCTGTTCAGATGTTATTTTAGAGCACTATAGACGTGCAATGTTCCTTGGCTCTTTCAGAAGAGCTTATTCTGTTTCCTTTGGTTGAAACAATTGTCAGTCTTAAGTTTTTGTCTGGATGACATTTTTTCAGGTGAGGGCAAAGATTTCAACTTTCGGATTTGGTGGTCCTACCGAAATTACTTGTGGAGGTAATGCTTTGAAGTTCTATGCGTCGGTGCGCCTGAACATCAGGAGGACTGCATTTGTCAAGAAAGGAGAAGAGGTATGTAAAATGTAATCTGTGTATAAACTTGCTTTGTCCTTGATAAGACGCATGGATGGCACTATGGCAGTAACACACCAACAGTCTAACGTGGCCCTAAAAAAACCATTTTTCTTTGTGAAATAAAGTACAATTAATTTATCATTTTATGGTCTTTGTTTATTCCACCTTATTCCGATTTGGGGTGATCTGGTGAGATGACTGTTATGCATTAGAGATTTCCTGCTATAATCCCAGTGACAACTTATTCTGGACTTCATACCTGTTGAGCTATTGAAGGTATTTAGTCTTAGCTTCAAGATTCATGCGACTGTATTCTAGCGATTTCCCCATTGCATGGACAAATGGTTCTGTTATCTCTTATTTGGAGTTTTGGACCTGTCGACAGGTGTCTGATGATGTCATGTAACTACTGTGTACTGTCTCGTCTATGTGGGATATGAACTGGACCAATCTTCAAACAATTACACTCTTGTTCATTTGCTCAACTTTTTTAAAGTCTTAGTCATTTTCCAAATGCCTGATAGTTTATAATAAGTGTTGGAGTTTATATTAAGCATAATTAAGATTTAATTGTAACTCTTTTGTGATCATGACCTAATAAAATTTTGTGGCAAATAGTGTATGAATTTCCATAACTATATGCACTGTTTCATTCTGCAGATTGTCGGGAGTCAGGTCCTTGTGAAAGTCATAAAGAACAAGCACGCACCTCCTTTTAGAACTGCTGAATTTGAAATCGAGTATGGCAAGGGCATATGCAGGGATGCAGAGCTCATTAGTCTGGGTGTCAAGCACAAGCTTATAAATAAGCAGGGTGCTATGTACGCCTTCAACGGCCATAATTTCCGTGGGAAAGATGCAGTTAGAAAGTTTCTCATTGAGAATGGAAGAGATAGAGATGAGCTTGAAACAACGCTTAGAGAAAAACTACTACATTCAACAGAGGAGGCTGTAGAAGGAGATGTCACTGAACCAGCAGAAGAAACAGTTCTGCCTGATGCAACTGATGAAGCTGTAGTCACTGCCGCAGAAGCATAAGATATACAGAAAGTTCTTTTCTGGATGGCTTTTGGTGTCAGATAATTCAAGCAGCTTCTACTACGGAGTAGTTGTGATCAAGCATGTGCAGGAGCTAATATAAGGTTCTGAATACGTAGAGGATTTTTGCTTGCAATTGTCAGGGTATACTTCAACCTATAAGTTAATATATCAGTGCTTAAACTGGGATGGGTGAGAGAGTTTTGGCGGGTCTCTAAGACTGGAGAGATTCTTAGCTACACCCAATGTGTTATAGGAGTGAGGTTAGTTCTTTGATATTTTGAATAGTGTATATTTCACTAATTTAAGACAGCTCAAATCTCCTTGTTTATGGTGGTAGCAAAGCTCAGTTGTGTATCATAGTATCTGGAAGAATATTATGAAGAATTTTGGCCTAAAATGCAGTGATTGGATTGACACACAGATAGCTTGTACAGTTCGATTTAATTTCTTACTAGGTTAGATTCTGTGTCATGCACGATAATTTTAAATTAATATTATATAGTATTGAATTTTTCGATTTCTATGTTATTTCATATCAATTGGATGCTGAAAAACAAAAAAAATGGTAAGAATAATTAACACATTATTGTTTTCGGCAAGTGTTATTAAAGTATACATATTTGATCTTCGCATGTCACTGTTAAAACTTGTAGCATCTATAACATAATTTTGTTGGAAAATATAAAAAATTGGTAAAAATATTCCTAACTTTTGTTTGTTCGCTCAAAATAATCCCAACTTTAAAATATATTTTTTTGAGGAAATAAATTATTTTTAAATAATCCCAACTTTGTGGTTATTTGCTAAAAATGATTACATACTATTTAATTGGTTGAAAAAAAAAACTTTTAATTTATTTTGTTTAATTTTTTGGGTAAAACATCCCCAACCTAAAACCCCTAAAAAAAACACTCCCCACCACTTCAAAACTCCAAATCCAGCCCTCCCCCACCCTCGGAACTCTGTCACCCACGGTTTCGAGGGTGAGAAGGGTCTGGTTTTGGGTTTAAAGTGGTGGGGGAAGGTTTTTTGAGGTTTGAAGTTGGGTATTTGGGGGTTTCGGGTGGTGGGTTTAGTGGGTAGGGGGGAGTGGGGATGGCGCCGGCGCAGGGAAAGGTCGGCGACCGGCGGGAGTGGAGGTGGGCTGGCTGTCGGAATGGTGAGGGTTGTCTAGAGCCCGAGATGAGTGGTGGTGGCCGATGGAGTTATGTTTTTTTTTTAACCTATCTCGCTGACACATGTACTTAATACAAAAAAATCTCTTTAATAGGTTACCAGTCACTTGAGATCATTTTGACAATGACCCCAAAAATAATCCAAAATTGGGATTATTTTAAGCGTACGGGCGAAAGTTGGGATTATTTTTGCCAAATTATCCAAGTTTCTAATGTTAAAATATAAACTTGATAAATTACCATGCTACCTTGCCTGCCCACACTTATTTAATATAGTTTACTATTTTAATCCTAAATAAACTGGTAAGATAAATCATCAATAATTAATAACATAATACTAAAACAGATACTAGGAATGACACGTGTCAATCTCCGGGGTAATTTTTCTTCCTAAAAAAGAAAAACCTTTCCTTTTTGCTAAAATCTTCTTTGAGAAGTTTGGTATAATTTTTTTCGTTCAACGATTAATGTAATTTATAATGACGAATCTATTAAATAATAGATTTGTACTACACAAATTATTATTAAATGGGAATTTTGATTTTTTAATACTTTAATTAGTTTCTCGCTTAATTCTAATACAAATAGCCTAATAAAAATATGAAGGGAGTTTAACAATATAGCATAGCATTATAAACACTTTATCTATACATGTAATCATGTAAGATAATTTGATTAAATTATTTGTATTTGCATCTCCAATACTTTCATATAGTATCATAATTAAGGGAAAAAATTGACTAATTATCAAAACCGGGTTATTAATCCTGCCCATAAAGTGAATACACAATTTTAAATACTTATTTGATTAATAAAATGAAAATTTTATACTAATTTATCGTTGAATATTTATAACACTTATATGGCCTAACATGTAGATGTAGTTTTCATATACTCATTTGTCTAATTGACTCTTTCGTTACATATCATGTTTAATTTCATTATATACGCAATAAGAAGATAATAAAGAGATAAGCTAAAATACGGTCCTTCAACTTTGTCATTAGTTGCACATTTGGTCCCACATCTTTCAAATGAGGCAAATTGGTCCCTTTACCACCCTTGCCGCACCATTTCTGGTGAAGGAACTTCTGAGTCAGCAAAGTTTATGAATTTCTGCTGCCAAGTAAGCCAACGTTCAGGGGCTAGCAAAGTAAGGACTAGGAGTGATGACTAAACAAAGTTTAGGGACTAAGAATGATGTCTAAGAAAAAGTTTAGGGCCTTTATAATTATATGTTGAAGGATATTAGTACAATTAAAGTAAAATTAAGCTCTTACTCTTTGTGCTATTTGGATGGATAATTGATTAGCATTATCTAATTAAATAATGACAATATTAACATATCTGACAATAAAAAAAAGAGCAATATTAGAATATAAATAACTATATCATTTGCAAATAAATAGATAAATAAATATCTCGTAAAAAAAAAAAGATAAATAAATATATCATATACGAAGTATAAGTTAAAAATGATTTAAAAATATAATTTGATTTACATAAACAAGTTGATATATTCACACGTAAAAATTCTTCTTAATAATAGCATCTAATAAATTGACACACTTCTTACAAGTGCACTCAATACTCAATTGGGTCTCCCAATCAATCTTTGGGAAGTCGTGCATAACAAGAACATTTTGACAAGAGAAGAATGGGTTAGTTAATTATTAAAAAAAAAGGCGCAATAAAAAAAAAAATTGTACACCGTTCATTATAGGTTTTTATAAAATAATAAAAAAAAATTAATTATTTTTTACATTTAAATATGAATGAAAAAAAAGGCTTATATATTTTTTTTTTAAAAAAAAAAATGCTTATATGAATATTTTCGATTGAATTTGATATGATTATTAAAAATATCTTAAATATTTTCTTATAGTTTGATATAATATTTTTTTCGAAAATAAAATGTCTTTGCCTAACTATTAATCCTTAGGGCCGGTTCACATTTACTGAATTGAAATAAACTGATTGGAGCTGAAATGAATATTTTATGAAAGACGGAAATTAGGAGCTGAACTAAACTGATTGGAGCTAAATTGAACTAAAATTAAGCTGAAGCGAAGGTGCCCTTAATATCAACATAGTCCAAACATCATGGAATTTATTAAGATATGGATAAATCCCTAAACTTTCCATTGCAATTATGACCTCTGCCACACAAGGGTACTTGGTCCCTAAACTTTCGATATGTAATAACTTATGCCTAGTCATCTTGTTAGTCCCTAAACTTTCATTGTTTAGTAAAGTAATTCTGTAAATGACAACTCAACATCAAAACTTCAGAAGGTCCCTAAAACTTTCTTTAAAATATAATTTTATTTTTTGCCACATGGGCACTTTGGTCGCTAAACTTTGGAGACTCATCTTTTTTCCACCAAAAAAGTAAGTAATGGGTGGTTGAGGGTCAATTTGCTTCATTTGAAAGGTAAGTGAGAGACCAAAATGCTACAAATACTAAAGTTGAGGATTGTATTTTAGCTTAACTCATATAATAAATATGTTATAGATGTAATTTATCTATGCTGTTACTTCCTCCATCCTATTTTTTTTGCTCCATTGTCAAAATGTGGGTCAAACTTTAAAAACTTTGACCATAAATTCCCGTTATTCTACAAAAAGAAATACGGAGTATAATCTTATGAGATCTTGCTTGGTTCATCTCATTGTAAAATTAATTAATATCAACTTTCTATAACTTTTACATATATGAAAATAAAGATATAAATGTTTGAATACGTGTCTTGGAGGCCACACAAAGTCAAATAACGCAAAAATAAAGGGGCAGAGCCGCAGAGGGAGGGCCTATTCCGATTGACTGAACTCAGCTGAACTGAACTGAACTGAACTGAGCTGAGCTGAACTGAGCTGAACTGAGCTGAACTGAACTGAACTGAACTTATTAATTAGTGATTTTTAACTACGGATTAGTGATCTTTGATTATTTATTGATTATTTATTACTATACATATGTGTATATACAAATGTACATAATAATAATAATAATAATAATAATAATAATTATTATTATTATTATTTATTGATGATTATTATTATTATTTATTGATGATTATTATTATTATTTATTGATTATTATTATTATTATTAATATTATTATTATTATTTAATGATGATTATTATTATTATTTATTGATTATTATTTATTAGTATTATTATTTCAATTATTATTGTTATTGTTATTATTATTATTATTATTTATTATTGTTGTTGTTGTTATTGTTGTTGTCGTCGTTGTAATAAGAGTTTAAAAGAATGAAATTTGGCTTTATATCATTAGCAATATCATTAGACGTAAATTAAGAGCTGAACTGAACTTCAACGGAAGAGAACAGGCCCGGAGTATTTAATACAATTTTTTTTTTTTAATTTTTTTAAGGGGCTAAATTTAGTGAAATAAGGTGCATAACACAGGATCTAAAATAGTTTGTCCTCCGCATTACGGAGTACGTTCTCATTATGAAAACGCTCCGTATTATCTATTATCCGAATCGGTATAGAATTCCTAAATCCTAATGAAGTGGAAACTTAATAAGTTAACAAAACCAGGTGAAACTACAAACCGCCAAACTCAAAACCCCGATCTCACATATAAAACGTTTTTATTCAATCATAATTCATTAACAAGGGTTTTATTTCTTATTTTGAAACCCCAAAAAAAATTCGTAAAACCTTCGAACTTCGATTTTCTGCAACAATGGCGCCTCAGAAAGAAATCAATGGCGGCGATTTGGAAAAAATGACTTATATGTCACTTATATCAAAGGTATGTTCTGAACTCGAAACTCATGCTGGTGTTGGCGACAAAATTCTCGCCGAGTTTATCATCGAATTAGGTCATAATTGTGAGACAGTCGATGAATTTGATAGTGAATTGAAGAAAAATGGTGCTGAAATGCCTGACTATTTTGTTAAAACTTTGTTAACGATTATTCATGCTATTTTACCACCTAAACCTAAGAATAAGGGTTTTGATGGGAAGGGTGATTCCAGTTTTTCTGGGTTGTCGATTGCTGATGGTAAAGCTAGGGTTAAGGAATTGGAGAGGGAGATTGAGGCCGAGGCGGAGGAGCGGCGGAGGAAGGAGGGTGATGATAAAGATGGGGGTGAGATGAGCCGGGATCGGCGCGATAGGGATAGAGATAGGGATAGGGATGGTGGTAGAGGTAGAGGTAGGGATAGGGATACGGATAGGGATCGGGGTAGTCATAGGGATAAAGAAAGGGGTAGAGAGCGTGGTAGGGATAAAGAAAGGGATTGGGATAGGGATAAGATAGGAAGACATGATAGGCAGGAGAGGTATAGGGAAGGTGATGATGAGCGGTACGATGATCGACATGGGAAGGAAGGGTGTGTGGTGGAGGAACGGCGTAGGAGGGATAGGTATGAGAATGGGAGTGGTGATGAGGAAGGGGGTGATAGGAGGGAAGGTGGTAGCAGTCGGAGGAATCAGAGGCCGGAGTCTGATGAACTTGAGTTGTTGACTCGGGTTTATAAGGGAAAGGTTTCCAAAGTAATGTCAATGGGGTGTTTTGTTCAGTTACATGATTTTAAGGGTAAGGAGGGGTTGGTTCATGTTTCTGAGATAGCAAATAGGCGGATTGCTGATCCTAAAGATGTTGTGAAGAGGGGTCAAGAGGTTTATGTGAAGGTGATTTCAGTTTCGGGGCAGAAGTTGAGTTTTTCAATGAAGGATGTGGATCAAGATACTGGGAAAGATTTGCTCCCTCTAAAGAAGAAGAGTTCACAAGATGATGCATTAAGGGCGAATCCTAGTAGTGGAATTGGGTCAAACAAGAGGATAGGTCTTTCTGGGATTCCGTTAGGTGAAGAGAATGTGTCTGGTTCTTCACGTCGCCCTCTGAAGCGTATGAGTTCTCCAGAAAAGTGGGAAACACAGCAGCTGATTGCGTCAGGGGTTCTGAGTGTGAGGGAGTTTCCCAGTTTCGATGATGAAGGTGATGGGATGCTTTATCAGGAAGAAACAGCTGAAGAAGAACTTGAGATAGAATTGAACGAAGATGAACCTGCTTTTTTGCAGGGCCAAACACGATACTCTGCTGAGATGTCACCTGTTAAAATCTTTAAGAATCCAGAGGGCTCCATGAGCCGTGCTGCTGCTCTGCAGTCCGCTCTTACGAAAGAAAGAAGAGAGGTGCGGGAGCAACAACAGAGGACAATGCTTGATTCAATTCCAAAGGATCTTAATCGTCCTTGGGAAGATCCAATGCCAGAAACTGGGGAGAGACATCTTGCACAGGAGTTGAGAGGTGTTGGCTTATCAGCATATGATATGCCAGAATGGAAGAAGGAAGCTTATGGTAAGGCTTTGGCATTTGGCCAGAAGTCCAAGCTGTCTATCCAGGAGCAAAGGAATAGCTTGCCCATCTACAAATTAAAGAAAGAGTTGATCCAAGCTGTGCATGATAACCAGGTTTTGGTTGTGATTGGTGAAACAGGATCTGGGAAAACTACCCAGGTAACTCAGTATCTTGCAGAGGCAGGTTACACCACTAGAGGTAAAATTGGGTGTACACAGCCCCGTAGAGTGGCAGCCATGTCAGTAGCCAAGAGGGTTGCTGAGGAATTTGGTTGTCGATTAGGGGAGGAAGTTGGATATGCTATCCGATTTGAGGATTGTACTGGTCCAGATACTGTGATTAAGTATATGACAGATGGTATGCTTCTTAGGGAGATTTTGATTGATGAAAATCTAAGTCAGTATTCAGTTGTTATGCTTGATGAAGCTCACGAGAGAACAATACATACAGATGTCCTTTTTGGGTTGCTCAAACAGCTAATTAATCGGAGGCCTGATCTTCGTTTGATTGTCACCTCTGCAACACTGGATGCAGAGAAATTTTCAGGCTACTTTTTTAATTGTAATATCTTCACTATCCCTGGCAGAACTTTTCCTGTGGAGATATTGTATACCAAGCAACCTGAGACTGATTACCTAGATGCTGCTTTAATCACAGTGCTACAGATTCACTTGACAGAGCCTGAAGGTGACGTTCTCCTCTTCCTTACTGGGCAGGAGGAAATTGATTTTGCGTGCCAGTGTCTTTACGATAGAATGAAAGTTCTTGGCAGAAATGTTCCTGAACTGATAATTCTTCCAGTTTATAGTGCCCTTCCTAGTGAAATGCAATCTAGGATCTTTGATCCTGCCCCTCCTGGGAAGAGAAAAGTAGTTGTGGCTACAAATATTGCTGAAGCTTCTTTGACTATTGATGGGATATTTTATGTGGTTGACCCGGGATTTGCAAAGCAAAATGTATATAATCCGAAGCAGGGGCTTGATTCTCTTATTATAACCCCAATTTCACAAGCATCAGCCAAGCAAAGAGCAGGTCGTGCTGGGCGTACGGGGCCTGGGAAATGCTATCGTCTTTATACAGAGAGTGCATATCGGAATGAAATGTCTCCCACCTCAATTCCCGAGATTCAGAGAATCAATCTTGGAATGACTACGTTGACTATGAAAGCAATGGGAATTAATGATTTGCTGTCTTTTGATTTTATGGATCCTCCTTCTCCTCAAGCACTTATTTCTGCTATGGAGCAATTGTATAGTCTGGGAGCTTTGGATGAGGAAGGCCTTCTGACCAAATTGGGTCGGAAGATGGCAGAGTTCCCCATGGAACCCCCATTGTCGAAGATGCTTTTGGCCAGTGTGGACCTTGGCTGTAGTGATGAGATTTTGACCATAATTGCAATGATTACGACAGGCAATGTGTTCTACAGACCTAGGGAGAAACAAGCACAAGCAGATCAAAAGAGGGCCAAATTTTTCCAGCCTGAGGGTGATCATCTAACACTGCTTGCTGTCTATGAGGCCTGGAAAGCGAAAAATTTTTCTGGACCATGGTGCTTTGAAAATTTTATCCAGTCCCGATCTTTGCGTAGGGCACAAGATGTCAGGAAACAACTTCTCAGTATTATGGACAAGTAAGCCATCTTAACTCGTGATATTTCTTTTTTACCTAGTTTTGCACTGTTCATATACACTCAGACAGGCACATTAAAAAAAAAAAAATCATTTGTAAAATATTGTATTAGATGAATGCATAGGGGAGAACACAATTAAACAAAGAGGTAGAAATGAGCATTAGTTCAGCCAACCCATTAGATAAGATGGGTATCATTAATTGAATAATAGTATGCATTGTGACATTTTATGTTCTGTCATTCTGGTTAAATTTAAAGTTGTATTGCTATAGCTATAAACATACATATCGTGGGAGAGAATAATTCTTTTGGGCCTTGGATGGTGGAATTGGGACTTTTTTTTTTCTTTCTTGAAATTAATTTTGAATGGAATGGGATTGCTACGTCTTTTCCATATTCCTGGAGTTTTATAATTTTTTGTTAGCAGTCTGTATTGTTTAAACTGCAAATTGATTTTATAACAAGTTCTGAGATTGTTTCTGAATGTGGAATCTGATTCATTGTAGCCAGATAGAGTATCATACTTTTGGGTCAAATGTGCTTGTGGTGATACTCTTCATCTTTTTGGATCTGTTACTTGGGTTTAAGTTTTTAAAAATATTTAAATCTTGCTTTTGCTGGTTCAGTTTTTTTGATTTGATGCTATTGAAATACTGATACAGTTAGCATACTTTTCAAGGCCAAACATATTATATTTGTTTCACTAAATTGTATTAATTTCTTTTCTTAGGTATAAATTGGATGTTGTGAGCGCTGGGAAGGACTTTACCAAAATAAGGAAAGCAATCGCTGCTGGATTTTTCTTTCATGCAGCCAGGAAAGATCCACAGGAGGGTTACAGAACACTGGTCGAAAATCAGCCTGTTTACATCCATCCTAGCAGTGCGTTATTTCAGAGACAACCAGATTGGGTGATCTACCATGAACTAGTTATGACCACAAAAGAATATATGAGGGAAGTGACTGTTGTGGATCCAAAGTGGCTTGTTGAGTTGGCTCCTAGATTTTTCAAAGTTGCAGATCCCACAAAAATGAGCAAGCGGAAGCGTCAAGAACGCATTGAGCCACTTTATGATAGATATCACGAGCCTAATTCTTGGCGTTTGAGCAAAAGGCGTGCTTAATTTTCTCTTCGATTTTCATAACAGGTCTCCTCAATGCGCCCTTTGAATGTTTGTTTTTGAGTTTACTCATGTAATGCCAATATCTGCTTCACTTTTCTTTCTATAGAAGATACATCTCTCTGTAAAATTTTGGAGTTTCCATCTCTTTTATTGAAATCAGAAGTTTTTGTCACTTGATATTGTTCTGTACTGTGTTCTACTTGGAAAATTTTAAACTATACAGCTTTATGTAAATTATATAATTTGCCAATGCAGAATCTTATGTTTGAATTTGAGAGATATGTGTTTTTACCCTGTATAATGAAAGGCCGGATGTATATGTAAATTTCTTTTGGAATGTTGGTTAAACTGCTAATGCATATGGACACCATTTTACTTTTTTGTTGGAGTTTGTTTGAGCTGCTTTCAGTGGCTTATTGCTTTTCTCTATGAGTCTTCGATTGATGTGCTTTGTGGCATATAAGGGTAAGACACTATAAGTGTTTTAATCATTTTGTTTTACCTTTTTTTTGTTTGTTATTTTGTTTTTGTGCCTTTTATGAAAGATGGATCTCTGGAATCTTTGTTCTCCTTTTCAGGGGGGCATGGATACCACTTGTTTGACATGTGATTATGTGTTCAGTGTTGCTGATGTATCATTACTTGAAAGTTGATCAGTAAGAATGTCTAGCTGGATCCTATTCTTATTGGATTTGCCATATAGGCAAGGTGTTTTCTGGTTTCAAGTTGTACACTTTTATTATGAATACTATATGCTTCAGGGAAATTGTGATTGACATTATGCATATCCTATCTTGAGATTCATGAAGAGTGAAGGATCATTTTGCAGCTTAGGAGTTCCTTTCAAATGATAATCACTTTATCAGTATAACTATCTGTAGACTAATAATTAGATTGTCTAGTGTCCTGTGGAACTGAATTTGGAATGAGCAAAAGGAATATTGAATTTTATCTGTGGAATTGAATATTTACTTCAACTTGAATACATGAGAGATTCTTGGTCTATGCAGCTGATCTTATCTTTTTGGGAATAAGGTTGTAATTTTGTTTGTTTGTCTGAATTTGGGATTTACTGTTGTGCTGCTAGATAAAATTCGCTGATATAAGTAGGTTTTGGTGATGACTGGATGATGGATTCATGATTCTTGAAGTTTGTTCACAGAATGTAGGAAATGCTTCAGGAAGGTCACCAAAATGGGTTTTGCTTGAACAGGAATTTGCTGATATTTTGTACAATTCTGTATTCTTGAGGTATGGCTCTGCCTTTGGGCATGAATTGCTAAAGCCTTATTATGCCAACTCTATCATATTTTAATACAAAGTATGCTATGAATGGTTACTTCTTTCATATTTAATGTTTCCTTTTTGTTTGTCATGTAGTTACATAGCAATTATGTTTTTGTCCTGATGGCATACTTATAAGTCCACATAAACTGTCTAACCTCCCTCCTCCCCTCTCTCTCTCTCTTTTTTCCTTTGTTAATGTCACATTAGTATTTCCTTGGATTCTGATGCCACACCAACTAATAAATTCTTGAGTAGATAATTACCCACACCCCTTTTGCATGGGTAATTGGGCATTCTTCTTGAGCATAAATGGTTTCTTATTCTTTGTCCTTTGAGCTGGTTGTATAATAATTGATATATAATCAGATATTTTAAAAGCAATTGCTACAAGTGAGGACCTGATTAGTTATGAAAGAAAAATGTGTACTCTTTTTTTTGGTTACATGCCTTTTCCCCGTAGTTAGTAATGAAAAAATAAGTTGCGCATCATAATTTTGGAATAGAACATGGAAAGTAGTTCTATTGATGATAAATTTACTTGACTGGAATCAGAAGCTGCACTAATGCTTTGATATGCAATCTGAAACAATACAAGTTTGGCTCTGTTACAGATCTGAATTATTAGGTGGTTTTACTGGAGAGAATAGAACTACAATATACCTCCTTTGTGTCTCATATGTCATTTTTTGGTACTCTGTCTAGCTGTTATTGCAGTCCTCTTCTTATGAGGGGGTACAGTAGTAGTGTTTAATTAAATGACTGTTCCCATATATCTTGAGAATTTTTAGGTATATTTATGTACTAACTACTAAGTACTAAACTGTGCACTAGATGGGGCATGGAATGTGTGGGGTATTTATGAGGCCCTACCGTTCAAATTATACAGAATGAAAGTTAACTGACTAAAACACTAATTAGTACCCTGTGCGTTCTTTTTATTTTTTTTACATAGTTCTGTTTTTTTCCTGTATGGGTAGCCTGCCCCCATTTCTTTTGTCTGAAAGTTTTGTTGAATATCAAGTGCCAAGTCTCCAATATGAAAGTTCTTACTTTGTTGGGGAAAGTAGAAACCACTTCATATGAAATTTAGAATATTGCTGTTGGAGAGATTCAAGGTTTGGAACAAAAAACTAAGAAGCATTAAGCATCTGTGGTTTTCCAACAACCTAAGAAAGATTATTGTGAGAATTACATACTATTGTCTTCAGAAATCGATAATTAGTTACATGGGCTTTCACTCACTTTCTTGAGTTTTATTCTTGTTTTTTTTTATTATTTTTTTTTCTATTATTATTATTATTATTATTATTTTTAAAAAAAAACTCCTTCAATTTCTCTTAGAGCTCTTTTCTTTACTCACTTTACTCAACTCTTTTCAAACTCTTTTAAATGGTGATTTTGTTATGTCCTTTTCTTTATATCGTAAAATTCCTTATGATGATTCATGTTAGCTGACCTCAAGTCATTTTGGGACTAAAGCTTTGCTGTTATTGTTGTTGTTGTTGTTGGGTTTTCACTCACTTTCAGTGTACAGAATTAAGCTAAGGCTACTGAGATGGTAATAAATATTAAGGGTTATACATTATTCTCCTAATTTGGAAAAACTTCTATCTTCTAAGCTTATTATCTCTATGCTTTTGTTTCTATGCTGTTCTGTCAACTATAGACCAAGTATTGAACTTGCACTGATTGAACATTTCTTAGATGAAAGATGTTGATTGGTCTCTCACTTCTTCACTAACCATAATGAGTATGGCTCATTGAGTTTACTTTTTGGCTGTTTGGCGTGCGAAAGGAGCTATTTCTTTTTGTAGGATCATGTAATTATCTTATTCAGTTTAATTGCTTGATATTTTTGGCTTAAACAATGAGTCTATAATGGAAAATGGGTGTGGATTTTGGGATTCTTACCCTTGCATTTCTGATTGTGATGGCTACAGACTTCAGTATGTGTGGTTAGCATTGAGAGTGTAATTGGATGATACCTTGCAATTGAGTGGCATCCTAAATTGCCCCTTTTTCCTTGGGGATCTGTAGGAAATGTATAATCTGGAGCATATTAGGCCGCTTTTGAAAAATATTTCCGAATCGTCCTTCCTTTTTTTAGCTTGTTTGAGATGTATAATGTCACTTATGAAGTCACGAGTATTGTTCAGCAAAATTTGTCTGCATATTACAGTCTTGATGGTTTTGGTGTCAGTACTCAGTAGGATCTTAGATTTCTTGAAGTTCTAGTTACTGTTTATCGAGGTTATAAGATGAGTGTTAGAATTCTTAGATTTTTTTACTTGCATGTTTATCACTACCACTCCTTACTCTTATTCTTGGTACCCTTTTAAAATTCTCATAAATTTTACATTATTACTTGGATGCTCTTTCTTTGTCGGACGGTTCCTTAAAACGATTCATGTTAGCTGACTCCAAATCATTTTGGAACTGCTATTGTTGTTGTTGTTGTTGTTGTTGTTGTTGTTTTCGTCTTATTATTATCAATTTTTTCTTGGATAAAGGCTCTATATCTTTTCCATTAATGTTGTCACACATTTGTGTTAAATGGGTGGGTAGTACTCCTAAGGTAGTGTTTGACTTTAAATGGTGTTTTGTTTTTATTTTTTATTATTTTAATTATTTTCTTCTCAGTATTCCATTCAATAACTATGCTTCTGTCAGCCTGACAGATAGTGTCTCAATATGTATTACAGTGGCTGAAGTAAATCATTGAGCTTACATTATATTGAAATTTAGAGATGTTTCTCTAGCTCAGACCATCTCCAAGTCCTTTTTGTTGCTGACGTTTTGTCTGAAATTGATTTTATTAGCTGAATGTGCTCTTTTTCAATGGTATATGGTGTCGTGCTGGATTCTTCCTATCAAGGACACATTTGGTTGTGAAATTCTGATAAAAGTTATTCAACAGAGATAATTTGGTGGAGGGAAGCAGGAATGATTGGATTACTGAAGTGACACTGGTGGGGTTCACATCGTTTGAAGTTTCTGCACACCAACAAAGCTTTTTGAAATCAAAGGAGGTTAGTGACAAAGTAGATCCAATATATTCCTGTTTCTTAGTAGTTTCCTTGATGCATTGTTTTTGGACATCACCTATGGGGTGTGACCACCACTTCCTCCGCGCTGCCTCTTGGAAGAATAAAGATTAACTAGGAAGAAATTTTGTACATTGGAAAAATATGTTACCCTTTGAATTCTAGGCATACTGTGGAATTGTAGAAAAGAATTTAAGCAGGGTCCCATAATCTCATTATTGAGGTGGAGAAGGTGATTGTAGTGTTTGATAGTTTCCATGCTTTGTTTTTTCTTGTGGTGTCTTGATGTAGCCTGTAGGGCTTAATTTCACCTTTTGGAAGTCCGTGGAGTCTACTTAAACTCGATTTAATACTACTCCCTTCGTGACTTCGTTCCTCTAAGGTTGCTCCATTGGCCAATAGAGTAAATCTTTAAGTTTTAGTTGGGTGGAGTTGATGCGAGAAAAAACTGGTGGGTTCAAAAGTGTATGTGAGAGTTATGTGGCAGTCTCTCATGACCAGTCATTGTATGGGCCAAACGTAAAGTAATATACCAAAAAGGAAATTGGGGCAATCTTAAAGGTTCAGAGGGAGTACTATTGTTTACTCTCAGGGCCATTATTGAATTTGCTTTAGTTATTGACAAAACCTTGAGCAGTACAGCCCTTGTGATTATGGCAGACTGTGGAGTTAGTTGAACATCCTAAGAATTGTTTTTTTTGTTTAACCTTTTTTTGTATGTTCCACGATTACATGGTACGCTCACTATGTTGGCATCATCCATTGGGATTTTTTCCCAAATTAAGCTTTATACGGAAATTATTTACGAAATTGGTCTCGTGGCAAAAGTATTTCCCAAACTAAGCTTCTGAGGTGAAACGCTGTCTCGGACAGCATTTTACACAGTTTTTAAAAAAAAAAAAATTCAAGACTTAAAACCCTGCCTCAGGCAGCGTTTTATGGTAGTTTGACTTTTTTCATAAACTTCGTATTTCATACCTGTTTTATACAAATAAACGCTGCCTCAGGCAGCGTTTCTTGCGGGAATTATAACGAATTCCAGGCCTTTTTTTCTCAATCTCTTTCCTCTCTTTCACGCAATTTACACTCTCTCTCTCTCACTAACTCTCATTGTCAGCAACAAAGAACCACAGCCGTTGCCAACGCCTCCCCTGCCGTGCCGCCGCCCCTGCCGCCGCCAAAGTGAACGGAAGTTGTTGCCGGCATTGTCTCACTCACTCTTTAAATCCGGGTAAATCCTAAATTCATAGTACATTGTTGAATTTTACATTGAATAGTTGGTAGTATATAGTTTCTTGTTTTCCAAAATTATTTGAAATTCTATATCATATTACTAATTCATGGATGATTACTGCAGGCGGGGGATATGGGTGCGATGGTTGATGCACTTTCAGATGCCTTAGCAGCCGTACCCACCAGAGCCCAGGTTGAGCGGGTGCGAGATATGGGCATACATAGCTTGCAGAGATATGACCATGGCCATCTCGTCCACCCCAGGGACGATCATGACCCCAACTCCTTCCATTCACAGTTCGACTTCGGACAGAGTAGTGGTGGAGGTCATACTTCGGGCTCTACACAGGCAGAGGATTACTTCATCCATAACACCGCTCTCGGCCACAGCCAGGGTGACTCATCGTCTCGCCAGCTGACTCCTCCATCGTCCCGAGACCCATTCACCACCATTCAGCATTACACGAGGCGTCCGAGGTGTGTTCGTAGACGGACGGAGGATACACAGGATGGAGATCAGTTAACTCCAATACATGAGTCCGGATAGTATTAGTTAATTGATCCTTTTGTGGTACTCAGATATTTAACAATGTTGTATATAACGCTTACATTATTAATACAAGAAATGTTTTCTAAATGTCTCTCTGTACAATTTGAAGTTTATTTCCCTTATTTGTCCGAATTTGACTTTTGTTAGTGAAATTATATCTTTTATATCTGTTATATGTATCAAGCAGCATATATTTGGTCTCCTGCACTTAAAGTGCTGTTTCACGATGGTTATCATGCTGTTGGGGTTGTTTCCAGTGTTTGATGGTTGTCGGTGGTGGTCGATGGTGGTGGAAAGGTTGGGGCTGGTGGTGGGAATGCTCTTGCGTTGTTTAGGGTGTTTTATGGTAGTTTATGGGTGGTTGAGAGTGGCGGGCGGTGGTGGTGGGGGAGGTGGTTGATGGTGGTGGGGGTGGTGGTTAATGATGGGGGTGGTGAGAATGTCCTTGCGTTGTTTAGGGTGTTTTGCATTGCATAGGGGTGGTCGAGAGTGGCGGCCGGTGGTGGTGGGGGAGGTGGTTGATGGTGGTGGATGGTGGTGGGGGTGGTGGTTCATGGTGGGGCTGAGCTGATGCTGCTGGGTGAGGGTTATGTGTAGGGGCAGCAGCAGATTGCAGAAACTGCTGCTGATGTAGTGTAGCAGATGCTGCTGGTTATGCAGTCTAGCAGAAAAACGCTGTCTGTTCAACATAAAACGCTGCCTCAGGCAGCGTTTTAAAGCCCATATACATATTCCAGTATAATTTGGCAAAATATACTAGTATATTTTGCCAAAATACATACAAACAGGTCAACAAGGTAAAACGCTGTCTCGGACAGCGTTTTACTTCTTGATTTTTTTTTTTTTAAAAAAACTGGGTGTAAAACGCTGTCCGAGACCGCGTTTCACCCCAGAAGCTTAGTTTGGGAAATACTTTTCCCACGAGACCAATTTGGTAAATAATTTACCAATAAAGCTCAATTTGGAAAAAAATCCCATTTTTGGCAGGAGGAAAGTATTATTGCATGCTTCTTTGCGTAAGACATCTTTGTTGCTTCTGTTAGGTTGCTAACCTTTGATAATTCTAAGAGCATTGCATTGTCATGTCCTTGAATCAATGGCATTGACCGCTGTATGGTTTCTATTTTGGATGGGGTTTGTGTGTGTTCATAATAATATTCTTATGTCCCAATATTTGTCTTATTTGATTTTTCAAATCCAAAATTTGTTTACTTTAACCATATTATATGTAAATATAAGAGTCATCACATGAAATCTTATTAGATTTGTGTCAATGTATTTTTTAATATATGAAGATTTTACAATTTTTTTCGTCAATGGTCAAAGGTGTTTTTTGTGAACTGCATAAAATCAAATGTTACAATTAATCTTAATTATATTAGCTGTATTATGATGATGTCGTAGTAGTCTTAATAGATATGATTGGCTGATAATAATAGACTTGTCAAATTATCTAGGAAGTCATAGCTACTTGTAGGAACATATGCTTGTTTAGTGGTTGGAATTTATAGATGGCCCGTTTAGATTCGTTGGTGGAAACTGGAAAGGTTCCTTGAGTCCTTTTCAATTTCATGTCAAAATAATAAAATTAATACTTTGTAATATTTATGAGATTGATGTCTGGTTGATAAATGATAATCCAGGTAATATCAATGAAAGGGACTCTAAATTTTTGCTAAAGTTTTCAGTTGTTTTAAATGCTGTTGTCTTCCAAACTGTTGGTATTTGGTAAGCTTAGACTAATTATTTGTTTGGGAAGAAGCTGTCAAATGGGTATGAATCTTGTATATATGGGCTCTAATGTACGAAGCATGTGTGATTACGACGAGGAAGTTTATAACTATTTACTCTATTTTTGTAAAGGGTACCTATATTCCCCCATAGTTGCTACAATATCTTGCAGAGTAACTATTTTTCGATTTTGTCCATATTACTAATAGTTTTGTTGGTAAATGCAGGAGTTTCTGTTTTTGATTTTCACCCTTTTTCAATTTCGGACATCGGTTATGACCTTAATCAACTTATTAATGTGCCTCCTTGATTTTTTGTTTGTTGTTGCAGGTATAGATGTTGGTATGTAAAATTCGGAGGCAATGACATAAGAAACTAAATTTACGAGTATGAAATTAGAAACTGAAGATAACTGCAGCAGCAAATGAGATTAAATTTGGCATGCCAAAGGTTTAAATGGAACTGTTGCTGCTCTATTGGTATTACTGCATGCCTGCAGTCAAGTCACAACGTTGTCTGCAGCCATGTGTAGGGGCTGGGCCAAACTACCTGAAAAACCGAAAACTCGATCTATAACTGTTTTGAAAATTATTGTATTCGATCCAATAAAAATAATAATTCGGGTATTCGTTCCGATATTTGTTATCGGGTATGGTTATTGGGTGTCGTTTTAAAATTACGATTACCCATCCGATCCGATGAACAAATTTTTTGTTATTTTTTCCTACTTAAATCTATTTTTTTTAAAATCTAAATTCTTACTTACTTCATAATCACTATAATATCAGTTATTAGTAATATTATTACTCGTAATAATTTAGTAAAGATCATGTGATATTGTTGTTAATTAGTGTTAAATGATATTATAAATTCATAATAACTACATTATTAAGTCAAATAATCATTATTGGTTACCTTATTGGATATCCTATAATCGACCCAAAAATCCGAGTATTCAGATCGGTTCAGTTTATGACACTTTTAGTGATATTGATTATCGGGTATTCGAACTGTTATTACTAGTGGTATGAGTACCCGTTCCATGCTCACCCCTTACCCACAAGTCCACAACCACACCCTTACTGCCTCAATCTTTTAGTAACCAACCACCCCACCTCCGTTTTGGGTCTCGATCATTTTTATTTACTCCCTGCGTTTCTATCAAGGATGACGATTTTTTTTTTTTTTTTTTTTTTTGAAGTTCCACGTCAGCTATGAGTTGGTGAGAAACTTGTAACTACTGAAGTTGGAAAATTATTTGGGGGGGTTTTTGTCACTTGTAGTTTGGACATGATTGTTAAACCAGAATTAACGAGGTTTGAATTATACTTGTCTCTTTGAATTTTGAATTTGACTCACTTTTTCCTTGCTGGACTCTGTCTCACGAAACTACTAGTCGCGCCCCCAAAATTCATTTGCCAATTAGGCAGTCAATTTGGGCAACATCTACATTTCCAATCGAAGGGACCATTATTTTATTTCTAGCTTATCTCTTGTTTAAATGTTTCCGACGAATTATTAAGTGTTAGCATAATTTTTTATTTCAATAAAATGGTAAGTAGGGCTCGTTGATTAAAAGCAAACAAAAAAGTATTGGAAGTGAATAAATAGATAAATATAGGTGAGATGAGATAAACTTTTGTAACGAGAATAAGATATTTGGGTGAAATAAAACTTTTATTAGCGGATGATGAGAGTTTTTCCAACTCTTACTACGAGTACTATTTTTTTTTCCTTTTATTAACATCTTTTTTTCGGTTACTTGTCTAATATTGGACACACAAGCCACATTATTAAGACTAGAATAGACCCGGTCTACAATAACTTATTGTAGACCCAACCTTCTAGTATACCATACGAATGTGATTATATCATACGAAATGTGATTATATTATTACAAAAGTGATTATATCATCTTGAAACTATTATGTAAATGTATCACTCAAAAAGTGAATTTATCATTATAAAAAGTATCAAATAGTAAATTACATCATTCAAAAGATGATTTTTAAATTTTATCATCCTAAAGATAATTATATAATCTCATTAAATGGTTTAATATGAGATCAAAATATACTCACAAAAAGATAATTATATCATCTTTTAATTGCATTGTGTGGGAATGCACAATATTTATATTTAGTAGCGGATAAAGATATAGAGAGAGTTAAAAAGAAAGACCCAAGATAACAAAGAGAGAGACAGCTAGAATACTTGGTCAAAAGAAGTAGTGTTTCAATTAATTTACAACCTCTTAAAAAGAATGCGGTGTGATTTAAAAAGAAAGAATAATTAATTTGGATGCTAATTAATTTGAATGTTAAGCTATGATTTTGAGTACATTAATACAGAGTTTTAAAGACCTCACTTTCTAAAAAATTACTCCTAATTGTTATACAAGAAATCCCCCCTACTTGCAAAATTCTTGCATAATTGCATTACAACAAATTTATGGTCATGAGTTTAGGAGGTCTAACAATTTCACAATTTATTTGTGTCTTTGTAAGGACACATGTTGCTCATGCTCTTAATTCACATATCGAATCAAAATCACTATCCTAAATACTCTCAATCGCATGAAATAATAATTTGTCGTCATAATCACTTACTTACGTGGAATTAATACTAACACCACCCCAAAAAATGTTGTTGAATGAATGGGTGTAATAGCTAGCAATCAAAATGACAAAATAGTGTTATTGTCAATGACGTCAAGATGCCAAATCAGCAAGAAGTCTTCCAATTGCTTCAATGAAAGCAGATTCATCCCATTCTTCTCCCTACATACAAGTAATTTAGCATGAAGGGTCAATTTTTGATGATTATATAGTTCGTCATTTTTCTTAATTATTTAGTTTATAATAAAGTACTAACAAATCACATGCATAAATTATTAAATTCTAGGCCAGTCAGAAGTATATATTATAGGGTCATTTTTGGCGTGAAGACTGATCAGTCATTTAGTCATTTATAGTACAAAAAGCAAATGGTGAAAAAACAATTATTTGTTAATGAGACATGTTAACAATTTGTGTACTACATAACATAAACAACAAAAACTAATTGAAAAGAATTTCATCATTGAACGTTTGAACATTTATTGTATGAAGTGTTGAGTAATGATCAATTGAATGTCGTAAGAACTTTCAATTAAACTTCAATAATAATTCAATGCTCATTGTTTGAAGGTTTAGAGTATCTTTACTTTAGTGCAACATAGATACTACGAAACATACTTCAAATCTTAATGTTGCTCTCAATAAAATTTTGTTTTACTCCGTAATAGAATTCAATCTAAAATGAATTTAATATTCTCCTGATAAATATATAAGAGAAACCACTTTTATTTGATGAGATTCTTTTTGATTCATTTGATAAGTGATTCAAGATATCAACTTTTAATACAATTATAATAAGTTTTAAGGATACAAATTTATTGATGTTCAAATAATGCATTGAGAAAAGCAAAACAAGACAAATGGTAACATATCATACAAAAAAATAGTATCAATCTACTAATAAAATCGTAGGAACACAACTTTTTTTGAAGGAAAATTGTAGGAACACAAGTTACACAACTGATACTATTGTTTACACTCAATTTTCTTAGGTTTAAGGTAAGGTTAGTGACCACGATGGACTAACTTCACATTGATCCCCTTAATATGCTTCATGACTTAAACTTGATCAGTTTGTCAAACATTAACTGCTAGTCTAGAGAGATTGTTATACACATACGGATGCACAATATACCCATGAGTATTTTATTCTCATTTTGATGATTGTTTTTCAATTAATCATCAAATAAAGAATAAAACCTAAACTTGAGTTAGTTCGGTATAGTCTTTGGTGCACCAGGGTGTGTATAACAAATTCCAACTAGTCTAGGTCAAGATTGTTGGGTAAATACTTCCTCCGTTAATGATTAATTGCAATAAAGGAATATTTTATATCTCACGAATAATACCCCTTTGTTGCAATTAACCATTATTCTCATTTGTATAAAAATATTTAAGCTTTGCCATTATAGTATAAATTATACTTCGTAAATTAATATTACTTCTAATCCCTCTCTAAAGGTATGTTGATTGTTACATTACCCTAATCCCAGATTATTAATGTAGGATATGGCATAAAACAAGAAGTTTTCCACACGTACTTCCCGATTAGGGCAATTTCAATGGTGCATTTTTGTTGTTGTATGGAAGTTGTTTGACCATTGGACTGTGTAGCTACATAGAAGTATGGGAAAATGATTTAGGCACACCATAAGTTGATATTGACACATCCTTTGTGAGAGCACAATTTTTTTATGCTGTTCTCACATGGAGGTGTGCCAATATCAATTCAGGGTGTGTCAAAATCAAGTCCCAGAACTACGTAGCCAAAACAAACGAAATTAATTGAATATATCTATTAAAAAGAATGAAGTATATAATCATTTGGCTTACTTTTGATTGATATATATGAAGTTATTTATAAGTTACTTACATTGCATCTCACCATTAGAAATAGATTGTAGCTAACAAATGGAGTACCAAAAATGCCGGTTTGACAAATCTGTTATGAGAGATTGTTATATACTCTCGGATGTACCGTAAACCTAACTAATCTAAGCTCAGTTTCGCTCTTTATTTGATGAATAAATGAAAAATAATCATCAAAATGAGAACAAAATACCTATGAGTATACGGTACACCCAGGTGTATATAACAAATTCTAGATTTTTATAACCATTACGTCCATTAGAGATGCTCTTAATTTAAACAATATAATATTGTGAGAAATTCATTTTCCTTAAATTATATCTATACTAATAACAACTTTTACATAATATATGACTACTTGATTCTGAATTTAAGACGATTAAAATTTAACATTCTTAATTTTAACTCAAAACTCCAAACTCAGTCCTTATAATATTCCTTCAAACTCAGTCCACGAAATTGGACCTCCCCCGCCCCCTCAGAAGACCAGGTCAAAATAAACCTGATTTGTTCAACACTTCAACTATATATTTTAATTATCCCTCAATTAAGATAATAATAACATAACTTATGCAAAACAAAGTACTTTCCATCAACTAACACTTTAACTTGCTACAAGTTATTGTCACCATCAAACTATCTAATACGTAGTAAATTAAAAGCAGCTATTCTATACTTCTAGAATTATTCAAACTACAAATAATTAACAGTTTGCTACTTTGTTGTATTGTATCACCACCAACTTGGTGCATCAATACATTTTCTAAAATCATTTAATCAATTATATACATAGAACTCATTTATCTATTAGTTTCCGGTTTCCCGAGTAATATAATATTACTCTCTTCGTCTTTAAATAATTAATCCATTACAAATTAAACTTTCTTTTCCTTCTTTTTGTTGGTTTGTTGCTTTGCTATCTGATCTTTGATTTAAAAAAAAAAAAAAAAACTCTTTCGTTGGTCTTAGGGCCTGTTCTCATACGTTTATTTTCAGTTCAGTTCAGCTCCTAATTTCCTTCTCTTATAAAATATTCAGTTCAATTCAGCTGAGTTCAGTCTATGAGAACAGACCCTTAGTCTCTACTCGATCACTAACCCCTGTTAATTGTATCGTTCAAACTCTCGTATTATTAATCAAAATGCATTGTCATTCTCTAATCAAAATGCATTGTCATGCTCTCTCTCTCTCTCTCTCTTTTTCTTTTTTTAAAGTAGCATATCTATAAATTAAATTAGATAATAATATCAACTATGGATTACCTTAATTAAGTAAATTATATAATTAATTTAATAAGAGAGTTCATATTGCTTACCAAACTTATATATATTCTAGACTTCTAGATTCATTATTCAAACTACAATTTAATAATGCAATTTTAATAATATAATGCCAACTTGAATGCATTGTATAATACATCTAATACTAAATCTATCAAATATGACATGCAATGATAATTATAATTAATTGCATGCATGCAAATAAAAACAAAACTTTTATACGTTATTAGTACCTCAATTCTCAGCCTAAATGTGACCCAATTTGTAGGAAATTGATTATTAGTTGATGTAGTTTCTTGATGAGTTTGAGCTTCCATTGACACCATTGTTGCTTCTTTGACTTGCTTAAGAAACTCTAACACTCTAATAACCAAATCCGGTACCGAAGTTTCCATCCTCAATATTACTTGCAAGTCCACCATTCTTCCTCTTGATGATGTTGATTCTGAAACCGGCGTAACCCTAATGGCTAGTCTTTCGTTGCTTGAGACGTCTACACTTGTTGTATTTGTTGATTTAGGCTCGTTCCTCATTTTGAGTTGTGCCTCCATGAGTTGGTTCCTTTTGTTAACCTCCGAGAGTTGAGCTTTCAAAGAGCTCAAGTACTCTTTTGTAGTTCTTAATACTGATGCTTTGTCTTTCTGTAAATAATTCATGTAACATTATATTAATTATATATACTTGTACTATAATATATTAATATTGGAATTCTTAATATACATTGAACTCTTTGTTATTAATTTTTCAAACAAGCTTATCTTAATTTAATAAGGTTGAATTGCTTTCTACCAATGTTGATTTTTTTGTTGTTGTTTAAAGAGTTACAAGGGCATGGTGATGAGATCCTAGAGAACGGTTAACTTAGATAGGCGTTGTATATAATCCTAGAGATCGCCGCCTATCTAAGTTAACTGCTTAGTATCTAGTGTTTCTTATTCTAGTTTTTGTAGTAGTGAGAATCGATCTCAGGAAAACTCTAACGTAAGGAAATGCACTAATAGAAAATTTAGAAATACAAAACTATAATAATTAAGATTCACATATTAAAGCTTTAATGTATATATGTTTTTATTTTGTAAATGGTAGTCATTTTAAGGACGACTAACACAAGAAATTAAAGATTGTGTTCTTACCTTGGTGCCGGGAGGGAGCAAGGATCTTAAAGCTTGGAAACTCTCATTGATTTTTTCTCTTCTTTTCCTCTCAGAAATCATGTGGTGCAATTGATTGCTAGTAGGGCGACCGGGCCCTTGTAAAGAAAGCTCTTGAATCCTCCTATAATTTATCCCTCTATAGAAGGCAATAGCGCGTTTTAGCAAGGTTTGCCTCCTCAAATCAAGCCTCTTTTGAGTAGAACTCGATCCTGAACACGAGCTATGATAACTCGTAAATGCACTTGCCCTTTGCCTTGCTTGATAACCATATGGACAACTTTTCTCACCACCAGTTGATGATGAAGAAGGAGATGACAAGATTGCTAAGTACGCCTTTGTTAAGGCAGCGTCAGTGGTTTCAGCTGTAGGGAAAGGAATGTTTTGTAACAAAGGATGATTAATTTGAGGCGCATTAACAGAAGATGTAGCAGTATTTGTTACTGTCGTCGTTGTAATAGGAATCGATTGCGTGTTTATTGTCCTATGTTGATCAACTATGCTAGGATGAGTTTCCCTAATAACAGCTGCAGGTTGCTCTGGTTGAAGGTGGAAGGTTGAAGAACTCGCGAAGTTGTAAAAGAGTGAGGTGTACTCAGGACTATCCATTGATTGAGAAGAAGAGGATGAAGGCTTGTTTTGTTGATCTGTTGGCCTTGAAAACTCCATTGTCGAAAATAATCTTTGTATCTTCATCTCCAAATTCTATTATCAAATAACATATAAACGTACATTAATTAAGTACCATCATACTATACACTTAACATCACATGTAATAATGTAAAAGTGTGATGTAACGTTTAATGGACATATATAAAATTGTATATGTACAACGAGTGTATGGTATACAACAGGCTAATTTAAACAACTTTAAAACGTGAAAGTAAATTAATTTTGACGCGTACTTACTTGTTGATTATTGGACATGCCGAGTTCAATCTCACCTCTCTCACAACCAAAGAACACCGCAGTCTGCATCAAATCATCAAATAATTCTCATGAAACAATTAAGTAAAAAAATATAAACTAGAAAATTAATAATTAGGAGAAAAGATTAACATAATTAAGCTCAAAGAAATAATGCTGTGATTATCTTATGTAATCCCTTCAACGACGAACGAACCTTTATATTTGCTTCCTATAAATTAAAACAAGTGAAAATGGAAAAAAATTAGTTACTGAAAATTCAATTCAGAATTAAGAATTTACTCTAGTACTTTAATTTGCATGATGAATTAGACTCTATAAACACTTAATTAAGGTAAGAAAAATTCTTAATTACCTTGTAGAAACGACGCTGTAATTCGATTGATGCGAGGCGTTGAAGATCTATTTCCTGCAGCTTTAAACTGGGATTTTTATCTCTGAATGCAAGTCCTGGAACAAAGCTGTTATATACATACACGATCAGCCAAAAAAAAAAAAATTATTTATTCAGAACCATGTAATATAATTATTTAATTCGTATAAGGTAAACTATAGAGTAAGTAATCGTACTCATTCCCAACAGGAAAAACAGACTGCTTGTACTCGTTAAAGAGTCGTCCAGAAATCGATACACCAGTAAAAGAACTCGCCTCTTCTTTGAAGTGGCCGTCTTCACAGTACAAAATTCTGTTATCCAATCACCCAAACAACAAAATCAAATGATATAGGGAAAAAACGAAAACGAAAACATAGATGTATAAGAGATGGAATTATATATGAACGTACTTGAGATGAGGTGAATAGGTCCAAAGGCAAATGTATGAGGCACAAAAGGATTGCATCAGACTACAGAGGTAGCTAACTCGGTCTCCATTATCGAGTTGGAAGACCGAGTCCATTCCAATGAAGGAAGTTGCATAATGTATTATGGAAAAAACTTCAGCAGAGTAGTTGTTAATTATCAACTAATTATTCAGTAAGACTAGTACAATTAATACTAGTGAATAAAGAGGAAGGTTGTTTGTTTGTTGGTAATGTAATGATCAATGAAAATTCTGTGGAAAGGTATTATAGTTTGAAAAGTATTAAAGTAGTCGCGAATCATCTATATTCACAAATTTCGAGTCTAAATAAATAAAGACATGAAAAAGTATACAATGGTTTTGAAAATGGAAATATGTGAGATCACTATTTGGGTTTAAAATGACTTGCCAACAAATAATTGTGTATATTTGTGTTTATAATAAGTACATGCAAAAAAAATTGAAAAATTATATAGTAGTGTTAGTATAATGTGAAAAGAAAATTTTGAATATTCTTGATAGTGAAGAAAATAATTGTTTTTTTTTTGAGATTTAAAGGAACAAAAGGTTATTAGAGAAATATAGAGGAGAAAGATATATAAGGAGTACAGCCACCCAAAAAAAAAAAATGAAGAAAAAAAGTAGTAGAAAAGTCAAAGTGGTCAAAGTATGCGGTAAGAGAGGAATTTTGAAATGGGTCAAGGTAGGAAGGCATATTGGCTAAATTTTTCTCTAATAATTTTACTTTATTTAATTTGTGTTTAGAAAATTCTTTTGTTCATTATTATTAATTAAAGCAATCCTGTCTAGATTCCTACCTTATCTATTGTATAAATGTGAACAAGACATTTCTAAAATATGTAGATTTATAATGATGATTACACATAGTAGTATTTATATATGTGTGAGTAATCAACTAATCATAGTTACTAGTTCCTAAAAAAAAATAAAAAAATAAAAAATAATCATAGTTAGTATTAGAACATTAAGGGAGTAGGTTAGCTTTTTATGAACTTCTATTTTCGACTATGGAATACTTCAAGCCTTTTTTCATATGGTTTAGGACCTTTTCAACGTTGGTGCACAACCTTTCTAATTATATATCCATCCACTCTTTGTCTTTCTTATTCTCTCTTTTAATATAGTATAATTATATCATACGTTATTGAGGTTGTATTTTTTTTTACCGATGGTAATTGTTGAAAATAAGAAATATATTTTTCGTATTCGGCCAGATAAAGTTGTTTGTTTTCAATCCAACAAAGTTGTTTGTTAGTTTTTTCTCCTTGTAAAGTTAGTTGTTTATTAGTTCTTAGTTTTTTTCTCCTCGGTCTTTAATTAGTGGTATGCATTTATGTTCGACTGGACAAATGTATGCTTAGTGCATTAGTTGCATGCTCGATTGAACAAAATATAGGGATATGTTCTCTTCTACTTATTTTAGAAGCTTATTTTTGTCATAAATAAGCCTTAGTAAATTAGACCAAAAATATAAAAAAATTATATTGTATATTTCATTTACTTGTTGAGTGTTTTTTTTTCCTAGGCCATATGGGTGGGTGATGATGAGCTTTAATCCCTGAAGGTCGGAAAACTCTAACCGATTGAGCTAGCTATATATTTTTTATATATTTAATTGCGTATGTAATTTATAAATAAAGATTATATATCTAGAAAGTACACAATGTGACAGATTTACAAAACTCATTTGACTAAATTTTCTAATATATTATGGAGTACGTATTATAAAAATAAGGGTCAAGGTTTAATTTATAAAAACATCACATTAAATTTGATTGGATAAAGCCTTTGTTTTTTTTTTTTCCGAGAACTATTGGATAAAACCTTATTAAAATCAAACCAGAATACCTTATTTTTCATGTAAAGAGAACAACAGTGTTAGGCATTATCTAGAAGAAGACATGCATGAGAACTAAAATATTAATTTAGTATAACAAAATCTCTTCCAAATAAACCTAACCTCTCTATTCTAGAAGACATGCATGAGAACTAAAATCTTAATTATATTAGTATAACAAAATCTTTTCCAAAAAAACCCTAACCTCTCTAATCTCTTAAACCCTAGCCTCCATTGTTAATTTTTGAGGGGCTTCCATCGGATCTTGCATGACGGTGGAAAGCCCCAATAATCTAAGTTTTTTCTACTTTTTTGCTTGTTTTTAGCTTATAATAATCCTCTGCTAGAGAGGAATTTGTCTCCCTTGAAAGAAAGAGTTTTTCTCTTTCGAAAGACAATTTTTTTTTATCTCTTTCGAAAGACAAGGTGTTCTTTGCGCTTGGAACAGTATCAGGTTATGCAGGGATATGGTTGATATTGATTACTTTGGTTCAGGATACAAATTAATTACAAGAATTTTCTTCCTCGAAAAATTACGAATCGACAACGATGGATCCACTCAAAAAGTTGTATATATGAGACGACGAATCGAGAATGTGCCGAATTGTTATATCTATGTATTTGGGTTCTTAGTCCTTTCCAAATTAATTCTTGTTTGACTTTAACTTGTTAAATCTATTTTCTTTGTTGTTAATCTTCAATTCAATTATAGATGTCGGATTACTTTAATCAATGAATATTAGTGTCCTTTAGGACTTCTTTCAAAAAAAAAAAGAACATGCATGAGACTATATATATACTAATTTTGTGCCCGTGCAATGCCCAGGTTGTTTATTGAATTTAAAGATAAAATTTTTAATCTATATGTCAAATTTTAAAATGTACCATTGATACAAAATTAGTTTATTGATGTGTTTTTGTGACGATTTGCTATCTAGTATCATGTGATGACTAATACTAATATTGGTGGAAATGTTCGATTTAATACATTAAAAAAAATAAACAAATAATAAATTAAATAAGATAAATGTTCAAAGCCCGTTGGGTTGATCCGAACCCAAAACTTTGGGCAAAGTTTGAATATTTCTTGACTCGTAACCTAAAGTGACTCAATCCGAGATGACTCGTGACTCAACCCTAATTGACAGGTGTATGTAGTAATAAAATTCTATTAGTTGTGAAGTATATTATTTTAACTGATTAGTATATATTATAAATATATGTTTTACACTTTAAACTAATTCCTTTGCTCCAAAGAAAAATATTATGACATAAAAAATTAAATTTATATGATAATTTTTAAGAATTATAATGTAATAATTTTTTTTGAATTAAATTATAATTCAATTTGTATCTCTAAAATATTGGTCTTTTATCAAAAATAAAATTCTAAACTTAAAATTTTATCCTGAAATTCTATTTTTTTTTTATCTTATGAAGTCTATTCAAATCGCTCCAACGTGGCGCGACACTTGGCGAAAAGTTGGAACGCCAAGTGTCGCAAAGTCGTGACCTGGCTAAAAGTTTAGCTTTATAGATATATACTAGCTTTGTGTCCGTGCGATGCTGAGTTGTTTATTGAATTTTAAAGTAAAACTTTTTATTTAAAATATACTATATGTTACTTGAATCTTCTACTCAAGGATTAATTAATCACTTGACAAATCATTTGTCCGTTTATGGATATTTTATGGCTTAATAATCACTTGGCAATCATACTTGTCGTTTATGGGTGTTTTAGGGATTAATAATCACTTTACAATCTAAAAAAATTAGAAGTAATAATGTACAACCATAAAGAACGGTTGGCTAAAGCTGTGATCTTTTTTCATTTTCACTAGTAGAAAAATTGCTATTTGTAACTGGCGAAATTAATTTTTTGTAACTGGCATTGTTGGTTGCGAATGCCACCGTTACAATTAGTGAAAATTATTCGTAACCGGCCTATGTTAGTTACAAATAATGTACTATTCGTAACTGGCTTAACCGAACGCCAGTTACAAAAAGTCAATTTTCCAAGTTAGAAAGCATACTATTTGTAACTAACGTTAAGTTACGCCGGTTACAATTAAGATATTATTAGTAACTGACAAATCTTAACGTCGGTTACGAATAACATTTTATTTTATTTTTAAAAATACTGGCAGTAGTAGCAGATGGCCCTACTGCCATTACCCACACTACATTTTTTTAATGTGAAGCACCATAAATTATTAACCCAACTTTTATATAGTAATAAATACAATAAGTATTAATCTATGGGTTAAAACCTGTTATAATTCAACCAACAAAACACGTATTCCAAATAATTACTAGTGTAATACAATTATTTCTTCCTGGTCAATTGTACAATGATTAGATTGATATTAATTGAACAAGGTAGTATAATTAACTGCACCAATTAAAGCAGCAGCGACAACAGCAACAGAGGCAGTAGCGCGCGACAATAGCAACAGAGGCAGCAGCGACAACAACAACTTAATTAGCAATGAGAGCAGAAATTACAGATTGAGTACAAGCTTCCTGTAAAATAGTGATGTTTTGACCTTGGGAAACTTCTATAAAAAACCTGTCACAATATGCAATTGTCATAATACAATTTACTTTGCAGAAGCTGTGCTACAAGATCATATCACTTGACTTGTGCTATATTTAGATATAGCAATGTTCAAATAGAAATTAATCCAAATAATACTCTCAAATATCCCAAAGAACTTTATAAAGAGCTTGTAAATTACATTAAAAATAATTTTTTTTCATTTACTTATTTTATAAGGAAAAAATATTATATCCTCTACTGGTCATGCAAGATACAATAGCGTTCTCCTACCAAGGGAAAAAGGGAATAGGAAATGCAAACAACCAATCTATTTAACCACTTAATATAAAAAAAAAAAAAAAAAAAAAAAAAAAAAACAAAACAAAACAATCACATCATTTTTGCATACTCTTTTAATGGTAAATCAACTTCCAACTTATTATGGGACCAGAGCATTAGCTAAAATTAGATCACGATGCAGTATAACCAACTAATCCCATCTACAGCACACTAAACTAGTGAACCACAACCTCATATATATATATATATATATATATATATATATATATATATATATATATTATCCCTTAATGGGGGCAGAGAGGCAGAGAGATAAAGGCTTGAATAGATGAGTTATAGATCTTTACTCAATTCACATCCGATTTCACACAAACTCCCATCCATTTAATTATTTTGCTAACCATATTTTGGTGGAATGTGCAAATAAACTGGTTTACATGCAATAGAGTGGTGCAATAGTAGACTAATCTGACTAAATTTTGAAGAACTATAAATTACCATAGGTCCATATTTGTTTCATGGACAGGAACATGCCACTCAATAAATGACGGGGTAATAATAATTTCACAAACTCTCAAATATAAAGGTAATTAATGAGAAATACAACGTAAACATGCAAAAACACAAAAATTAGCACAAGGAAGCATTGAAAGATGATATAGAAGAGGTAAATGAAAGTACCTTGACAGGATTGTCCCGAGTGGTAGCTTAGTGGGTTAAAAGTTCTCGAAGTCTCTTAACAACCATAACCTTATTCTCTAATATATCTAGAAATGGCAAAAGCTCCTCTGTTGTCAAAGGAAAGCTTGGGGTCATCCAGAGAACAGGTCTCAAACCCTTCTTGTATTCACTCTCGTGCTTAGAGTCACTGGTTGGCCCTTTCTTCTTTTTCTTCTTCATGTTCTTATCTTATCCTTTCTTTTGATCACTTGCATCATCCTTTAGAGAATCAATATGTTTTAGACTGCCCCCTTAAGGATTAAGCTTTGAGAATTTCTTTAATGTCTTTGCATCATCAGCATCATCATTGGCACTTTTGGAGTTCTTCTATAACATAATTTACTTCGTAAAGATAGCGCCTATTTGGAATAAAATTAATCATTAATATTATGAATTGATTAAGTAAATTATTGTTTAAAAATAATAAACCAATATTCCAAAACACATTACCCCATACATACAATCACAACCTCAAAATCACTCTTCCACACATGCAGCCTCACATACACTCTTAACACCTGCATACAGTTTCATATGCACCTTATACTACCTTTAAGACTCTGACATTCAACACTACCTCACATATAAACAAAAAAAATCAACTTCATTATATACAACAATAGCAAGAAAGTCACCAAAAAGCAATATGAAATTGGCAAATGAAAGTGTAATGATCATAATCTTGCTGAACATATAAAATGCTAGTAGTGGACTTTCACATGATTAGTATAATGCATACTATACAACTTTATTAATTCATAAAATTGTTCAAATCTAACACCCCATGCTAATTAACGGACTCTAAATTTGGCTCATATACTGCAGAAATACTACTCTATAAGTCTGCAATTAATTACCTAGAAAAGAAAAATTAACATCAAATAATCATTCAAAAAAACTTGGGAAAAACTCAATGACATTATTGAAGATAAATTTAAATGAAAAACAAAAAAAAATTGGATCTATATATATGTCACCAATCAATAGGAAATCACATAGAATAAGAAGTAAACATATATGAATTATTCAAACACAAGATTAATAGCTTCAAATCCTAGCCCGACAAAATGAAATTTCAGTCGGAGCCTTCACAACTAACCAAATTTAACACCAGATTACACAAAATTTAATTAAACAATTTGTAAAATTTTAGTCTATAACGGAGAATAATAAAATTATTAGCAAATTAAATCCATAAACTAAATTAACTTAAAAAATTACAAATTTTTAAAAAACGTCGAAATCAAGACAGGGGAGAAAAAAAACCTCAACAGCAAGGTACGCAAGGACGATAACTTGATATGACGGAACTCCGACGTAGTGCTCAGTGTACTTCATAGCCTTCAAAATCTTAGAAATAAAGACCCATTGGAAATATCAAAACCTAGGGTTTACCAACCTCTTCCTCCCAATTTAAGAGATCTAATTTCCTCTAGATTCACCTTGTACTACAACATTTAATTTTGAATCAGAGTAATTAAACAAACTTATAAGAGGATTGAGAAAAGAGAAGGTTTTGAATGATGGTGAAAGAGAGAAGAATTGGGGTAACCTATAATCTTCATAACAGAGAGATGTAAAACTGAGGGCGTGATATATATATATTCTAGTTTTGTACCCAGGCGATACCTGGGTTGTTTATTGAATTTTAAGATAAATTTATAGTTCGAGTTAACTCATGACCAGACCTAACATGTCTATATAGTAATAAAATTTTATTAGATTGTGAAGTATATATGTTATTTTAACCGATTAGTACATATTATAAATGAATGATTTACGCACCCGTGCGATGCACGACTTGTTTGAATTTTTTAAATAATATTTTTACATATATATCTGTAGACACCTAAAAATGTTTCTCCAAAACCAAACCCGATGATGAACAACCTTTCACCGCCACTATTGGTCGGGTTCAGTATTTAATCCCGAGAGTGCTTAAAAAATCGTATTTAATTAAATTCAATTTTTGAATAATCCATGGATTAGTCTTAACGTTTGGTCAAAACATAGTTTTAATTTCAGCCCAAACTTATTATTTAATTTTATCCCAAACCTTTTTTTATTTTACTGTTTTATTATTTATTTTGGCCCAAGCTTTTTATTTATTTTATTTCAGAAAATGGCCCGAAATTATCAATCGGCACTTAAAATGCTGAACGAAATTAGGGTTAAAAATGAATTTAGACGGAAAAGCGGACTGAAAATTCCCGCGTCACGACAACAGTCCACCGTGTCACGGGAAACTTTCCCGTCTGACGGTGGGGTTCCCCGTGACACGAGAAACCTGTCGTGACACGGGAATTTCTGTGTCCTTTCCGCGTAAACCCTTAACGCGTTTTCTCCCCCGTTCACTAAATATTTCCCAGGTCACACAAAATGTGCACCGTGTCACAGGAATGTTTCCCGTCTGACGGTATTTCCCGTGTCACGGTACACTTTGTCGTGTCGCGGGAAACTTTTTTTAGAGTTTTTATCATTTTAGGGTTCCGTGTGCTCCCTCAGCACATTTTCTCCATAAATACCCCCTCATTTCTGATGTACGGGGCATCAACTAATTCTCTATTTTTCTCTCTTCTATGCTCTAGCCTAAACACTAGCCTACCCTTCTTCTTTCAAAATTCCTTCTTCAAGCACTCCCAGGAGTCCATACTTTACTCGTGGTTCTGTCCTTAAGCCAAGGCGTGAAAGGTAGAACTGTTTGAGGGTTTGGCCCCATATCAATTCTATTTAATTTAATTTAATTATTAATTCCTTGAAGTTACTAACTCCTTTATTATTTTGTAGTTGCAAACAAACAAAATCAAAGTAAGAATTATGTTCCTTTTAATTTATTTCTATTATTTTTCTAACGATTTTGTATTGTTAGAATTATTATTAAATTGCTTCCGATATTAATGTTTATTCTATTATTTTTATGATCACCATGTTGCATGTTTAAAGGGAAATATGTAATTGAAAATCACGCTTAATAAGATAATTTGGACAACCGGTTTAGGTTCCTATTTAATCTTGTTGTTAATTAAAGTGATCACTAATTTTTTAGAATTATATGTTGCATTAATATTAAACCAATTTAGCTTAATAATAGATTGGAGCAAATTGAATATTTTGTTTGTATGCCTTTGAGATCGCAAAAATGTTTTTCACTATAAGAATCGAGTAGAGGCCAATACGGGCGAATGTGACTCCATGACTCACTTCGTACCATCATCCCCGGTCCTCCTTTCGTGGTTCCGAACCATATGGAGTTAGTAATCTCATGGATTATGAATGGGGTGTAACCTTCACGGGTCAATCGTTGTTGCCTTCGTTGTCCCTTATCGTGGTTGTCTTTTTATGATCCGTGAACGGTTTACAAGTTCCTTAAAAACTTGTTGGCGACTCCCTACTTTCCTTGTCCCTAATCGTATATGTCAATTCCCACTTCCTATGAGTGCCAAGCATATTTATCACATGCTTTAACGTAGGCGCACTTCGAACGACGCCTACAATATCTATGTGCTAAAAATTGTTAAATATTTAGATAAAATTCCTGACATTAAAAGATAATATTTTATATTTAATTAATTTAAACTGGATAATCTCATTTGCTAATTTTGCTTACGTGTCAGTTAAATTATTTAATTCTAAAAGAAATTAATAATCTCGTATTTAATTGGCTACCACTAAAATTTATTATTTTACGTGGCGCGCTGAAAAAATTAAGTCCTACGTGGCTTTCTAAAAACTCGGGAAAAACTTCCATTCGTTCCAAAAAATATTATGATACAAAAAATAAATTTATATGATAATTTTTGGGAATTATAATCTAATAATTTTTTTGAATAAAATTATAGTTGAATTTGTACGTCTAAAATATTGGTATTCTATCGAAAATAAAACTCTAAACCAACAATTTTATCCTAAAATTCTATCTTATGAGGTCTATTTAAATCTATCCAACGTGGGACGACACTTGGCGAAAAGTTGGAACGCCAAGTGTCGTTGCCTCGTGACCTGGCTAATAAATAAATTAACATACACCCGCCTTATATATATATATATATATAAAGGCGGGTGTATGTTAATTTATTTTAAGACGGGTTAAAGTTATCTTAAAACTACTTAAGTTACCCTTTGTACTACAAAATTTATTATTTTTCTAATAATAAATTTATCTTACAAATAAAAAAAATTATAATATATCGGATTAATAATGAATTTATGAGAAATTAACCAACGAAAAATTAAAAGTCATACTTTAAGAGGTTTAAGTTACCATTAAAATAGTTAAAGTTACCCTTAAATTGACCATCTTACAAAATATAAGCCTTTTAATTAAAAATCAAGAATGGAGGGTAGGGTTTAGGGAAGGGGTCAATTTTTTATTTATTTTTCCCTAGTTCAATATGGAATGCATCTTTGGTATTTGGTCACTTTAAGGTTTCCATAGTTTTGGGCTTCATGGTTATTTTCATTATGAGTTGAGAAATTCTTATTATTGTCCTCCATTGTGGTCTATTAGTAAATTTTACTTAAGCTTGAGACTAGTTAATGTGAATATCTATTAACTAATACTAAAACAAATATGTTGGCATCATTTTTTTCTCCAAATTTGTACCAGTGGTGATTCCAGTATGGGTTCAGTGGGTTCAGCTGAACCCATACTGGATCCGAAAAAACACGAATAGGTTATTTTAAAAAGGAAAAATAATAAAACAAGGGTTATTATTAAACTATGCATACATATTTAATACATGATGCGCGCAGATTGCTGGTTAGAGTTTCACATTATAGAACAGAAGTCAGGGGTTCGAAACCCAATAACCCTGACATCTCGTGCAGAGTTTCACCATCAATTTGTGAGCTTTTCTTCATCTCTTGAGTCTTTGTTAATTGAATTCAAAAAATGTTATATACTTATACTGTTAATTATATTTATAATTGAAGATTTGGGTAAATGATGTGAATTAGTAGAAAGTAGAATATTAATATGTATATATTCTGGCATTGAGATAAAAAGAGTATTATTGGAAAGAACGTATGTCAAAATCGCAAAAATCGTAGAATGTCGAGTTCAACTATAATTTAGTTAAACATTTTTTTGTTTTTTTTGTTGTAGTTGTAATTGACATGTATTGTGCGCACCGAATTAACACATGTAAATTTTATTTTGAATTATGATATTTGATATCCCTATAATTGTTTAGAGAATTCAAACCCATAATGAGCAATTCTTGAAATCGCCACTGATTTGTACACATGTCGCTTTCTCATAAAAAAAATGTCCACCTAAATGCTTTAATGACATCATCTTTATTTTTTTACTTTTTATTTTTAAGCTGAACTACTCTATTTTTAAGAATTTGAAATTTATGAGTTTTGACTAAAAATCAAATAGATGCTTCTACAAAATACTATACAAACTGTTAATTGTTGTAAGCTAAAATATAATTTTGATGACATTGGTGCTAATTAATTAAATACTATGTATTTTTTTCTTCAAATTTCATTAATATGCATTCCTTAAATAATTTTCAGTTCTTTTGGCTATTTTAATTATTAATTGTAAATAATGTGGTTCATATATATCCTTAAATGTAAATTATTTTTACATTTAATTCTAATATAATCTTTATATACAATGTAATGCAACAGAACAAAAATTACAAGAAAGATTAATTCTAACCGTGCTTCGCATGGGGATAACCTAGTTATTAAAACTATAACAAAGATGAGAGTAGGGAAAAATTAAATATCATACATTTATTCAAATCCTATTCATAAAGTGATTACAACTAACCTTATATAGATAAAGCCTGTTCTATTAGACTTAATTTTAAAAATTTCACTTCAGTTAAGTTAAACTCAGCTTAGTTTCCAATCGTTTTAGATTAGCGAAGTTCGATTTAGCTTGATTTAGTCAAGTTTAATCTAGTCCAAAAGAACATGGCTAGCTATGAGCCTATAACGCATTAATGCCCGTATTTTTTTTTTTTTGAAGAACCTATAATGTCCATAATAAGTTGAATTTGTCAAAAAAAAAAAAAAAGAAGAAGTTATTGAAGCACATCTATTGCTACTAGCCTATTTAATGACGGGGAATGGAATAGATGACTCCCCAATCTCTACTATTCATAACGTATAACACTTAGTGCAAGATTAATAATAATTATTAAATGAAAAATTTGAAAAATACCACCATATATTATAAATATTTTGTACATACCTTATGTTTTTTTTTTTTTTTTTTTTTTTTTTTAAAAAAAATATTGCATATTACTTCCTAGTTTTCTCAAAAATCTAAAAAACTCCCACCACTTTTGCTTGACTCCCCTATATTACGTCGCAGTGGGTCCCATTAACCAAATTTCTTTCGAATTTTACCTTTCTTCTTCCTTAATCATCCTAATTAACCAATTATACCCTTGATTTTGCATTGCGTTTGGCTTGAAGAACAAATTAGCGAATAAAAACCCTAAATAATGCATAATTGATTTGCAAATCAATATTAAAATGGGAAATTGGCTTAAAATAATACCAACTATCAACCGTGTGTGCAAAATAATACAAACTCAACTATTTGCTTTTAGTGATACCATCTTTTATACTATATGTGCAAAATAATATGTCGGTTACC